CATGTCTCGATTAGAAAAAGTGAAAAAAAAAAAACCGGCTGTAATTCTTTCCGTTGTAATATTTTTCGATTCTCCGAGTTAACAGTTATGTATTTGCTGGAGAGGAAGGCGGTCGTCATTCCGAATTCGAATTTAAATTACAGATAATTTCTTTGGAAATTGTCCAATTGTATTGTGAATTATATATGTGAGACAGAGCGTGGTGGCTCTTTCATATTGGAGCAGTTCTGGCTATAGTTAGGTGTGGGTAGTTACGCTCGGTGCCCCTTCTAATGGCTGAGCATGCCCATGGAACCGAAGAACTTCTCACCATTTCATTAGTACTATTAACTTCCCTAACGAAGCAAAACCTTTCTCTAACCCTTACATATTAATGCTCTAAGACGGCCATTATTTCCATCCGCTCCAAGACAAATTTTGCGCCCCTTGAGAGATTTTTAAATTTCGCCCCTTTTCCCGCAATCCAAGCCCCAATGTTTCCTAGTGTTAAATGACTAAAGATAGTTTAATTAACAGTAGTAGTTTTAAGATTTTTGAACGAAACAGACAATTGAACATCTATTTACGTTTTTTTTCAATTTGGGGTTTTTGCTGGGTGTTGATCTGCGTGTCGCAAAACTCAGAGTATTGCTCAGAACCGACACAGGAGTATTGCGCCCATCTTCACACGTGGGTTTGTTGAACTACTCCAACGCGTTTCACCATTGCACCATCTTCAGTGAGGAACTAACAATGGAGGAGTTTTAAGTTCTTTTTAGTGTTTGTATTTAGTAGAAATAATTGGATTTTTGATTTTTGAAGCTGTCAACACGAGTTCGATGTATGTTATGAGAAAAAAGCCTTATGCACCGTGGTTAGATTAAGTATATTCTTCATATGTGGCATTATATTCTATGCGCTATAGCTTTATACATACGGCAGATCTCGGAGCCGTTTATGGCTAACGAACCTCCCCGAGAGATTTCATCCTTTACAGCGTTCAATGTCATGTCCCGCAAACCGATAAATAATATTTTCCATGTTAATTTCGTTTTCACGCGCGGTCTACAAGATTGTATAAATTCTCTCGAGTAATCACATTGTCGCTGGGTCCGATGCCGTTTCCTCGGATTTCTCGTCCGTCGAAAAGACTGTTTTCCTTCTGTCTAATTAACATTTGTGACACGCGGAAATTGAAGTCAGGATTAGAGATTATTACCGATTGGAAATTGGCGACCTTTGGCTTGCGGATATCCATTCGGCAATAACTCTCCTCTGCGGCTCATTTGCATTTTCAGGCTGGTATAAAGCCTCGCCTTATTTAATTAGCAAATAGATTTTTTGTCCCTCGACTTTTCCTAAGATAAACCCCTTAACGTTCGGATTAATGGTATAAATCGGCATAAAGGGAAGAGAACGGCCTCACAAATATTTTATTAGCCGACGGGGTTTTATGTCCGCCTCCCGCCGTGACGATATCTAAAGCGTCAGTTATTTTTCTCGTAAGTAACCTCAGTGGGAGGGATCAAGTGCTATTCAATGTCGCAGTTGGGTGCATCGCTCTTGTTTCATATTACAATCTTTTTTTACTAATCTTTTCCTTTTTTCCCCCCATTTTTATTGTTACGACGGGAGTCGGACGTTTCGGCCCCTTTGAGACGATTACAGGCGTTATTCAGCCTTAAATGCCTCTTAAAACTCTTTATTCTTCGATTAGCAGCTCATATTTTTTCTATAGTTTAAACGCATTCTATTTGTCAAAATTTAATTTATTTATCAGCGAAAAAGACAGAATGAATCCATAAAACATTAACAGATGAACTCCTAAATCGTGCAACGGTTTCACCCTCGAATTTCTTTAGCGTAATTTCGTTTGAATCGTGAGTGTTTGGATGTGGTATTTGATTGTTTGTAATGCGGCGATGCGTGTTTGTTCATTGCTAAACTGTCGGAGCCTGATGGTTCGAGGGTAGCTCGGTCCGCATCGGGGTTGAGGGTGTCCTGTTACAACCCTCCTGGCCATCCAGACAGCTGTTGGGGTTTACCTGGTTTCCTCTTCTCTTACCCTATTCCATTGTCTTTTTCATTTAAAACTTTCTACCGAACGTTTGGCCCACGTGGATATCAAAAATGCTCAAAAATGTTGGGAATGTTCTCGCATAAACTTGTTACTTAAAAAAACACAACGAAGACCAAGATCATCTGTGTAAAGTCAGTTAATGGCGGGTTCATTACAGATAAATTACCCTTTTTTGCTATTCAATATTCTCAAAACCTTTGTCACACATTTGGCAATTGCTTCTATGCGTTATATTATTATTTATGGGCGTAAAAGTAAAACGTCGTTTAACAGCAACATTAGCCCTTTATAGCCTAAAGTTGTCTTAGTGCAAGACAAACTTTAGCAGTTTTGTTTAAAGGTTAGCGGGAAATCCTGTGACTTTAGATTCGCGCCAGATAAATCAGTGTTGCCAATACACGAGCAAAAACAGCAGGAACAACACTGCGCCGCCCTAAACTCACTGGATTTCCTCCTAATCTTAAACAAAACTGCTACAGTTGTGCTGGAACAACACTGCGCCGCCCTAAACTCACTGGATTTCCTCCTAATCTTAAACAAAACTGCTACAGTTGTGCTGGAACAACACTGCCCCGCCCTAAACTCACGGGATTGCCCGCTAACCTTAAACATAATTGTTTTTTTTTTTCGAATTGCTTTGAAACAACTTTGGGCAAGAAAGGGTTAAATTATCAACTTGATATGGAAATGTTTATGTTTGGCTAATATAACAAACGGTACAAGATGCAGTTGTAAAGAGAAGAGCAATGTTGGCGACAGAAGATTCCAAAACGGAGATTGTAGATTGGCACCAGATAAATCAGTGTTGCCAATACACGGGCAAATACAGCAGGAACAACACCGCGCCGCCCTAAACTCACGGGTTTGCCCGCTAACCTTAAACAAAATTGCTTATGTTTGCATTGGACTGAAACAACTTTGGGCAAGAAATGGTTACATTATAAACTGGATATGGAAATTTTTATGTTTGCCTAATATAACAATCGATAAGATAAAATTCAGTGTTGCCTTTACAGAAGATGAAACATTGAAGGAAAACAACGCACCCGTTCTAAGCTTAATTTGGTGTTATCCTGAGGCAACGTTGGGCAAGAAATGGTTAATGAAAGAGTCTTAAAAGATATCATCAGCATAAATACATGTGTGAAGTAAACGAGGGCATCGGCTTTTGAAAGGGGCTCGTTGAAAGTCTAGGAAATGTATACGTTATTATATTTCGATGGGCCTTCGTTCGTCAAATGATATTGCACATTTTAACAATGCCGAGCATTTAACAGACGTCCAGTCACGACTGTCATCCGGACAAATTCTATCAGCGGCAAAATCATTAATCGTCATTACCATCTCTCAATTTGGAGATGAGAAGAGCCCGTGTGAAATCCCTTCGCTTAATCATATCACAACGATTATCAAATTTAACATCACTTTGTTTAAAAATTCAGGTCTCACCTTAAACCATTTTGACACAATAATTCAATAATTTTGTTTTAAACTTTTTTTTGCGTATGCTGCACAATGGGAGTTTTGACAAAAGTTTAAAGTGAATTGTCTTTTTCAGAGATTAATTGTTTATAAATATGTTATTTCATAACTTAACATTAACGAACGAAACGTTTTGAAAAGTTTTAATATATTTTTTCTCTATATACTTGAGAGGTGTTAAAGGAGTGATTCTTCTTCCATAAACCATTCTTCTGTGATATTCCACCAAAAGGGTCCTTCGTCAATGACGATTTACCCAGGACTTGATGGAACGAGAAAGTGAATGTTTTATTAGCATATATGTTAAAATGCTGAAGGGGGAAGAAAACGTGCGGAATGTAAAGCAAACTGTTTATGACTCAAAAATTCAAATTGTCTGATAATTTGGTCGCGTGTTTTCATAATCCCGTTTAAGAATTGATTTATTTTCCGAGTCGTTCTTGTGTCCATTAACGTTTAGCTATGGAAAAAAGTATTTTTTTTAACGTGTTAAGGTTTACCACTTTTTTTTGCTCACGGATAAGCTGGTCTGAATGAAAAAACTAAATTGTTATCGGCCACGCTACAGTCGAGAAGAGCTTTCGTATACAATTTGCCAGTTTAGATCCATGTACCTGTCAATAATTTTAGTCTGGAAAGCGGTAGCTCCACAGTACATTATATTTAGTTTGGCCTTTTTCTTTACTTTGTTCTGCCTGCTCTATATGAATACTCTGAATCGAGGTATGGTCAAGACTGCCTAGAGGTTAATAATCAGGGCAAAACCATCTTAGATATGTCAATAAATTGACATAATTTAGTTTTTAAATAGATGGTTCGAAATTTCTTTGTAGTCCGATTCAGTCCCAACATATTATCTAGGATATTGTCAATTGGTAGAACTGATGATGACCTTAAAATAGCTCGAAAGCTTGGCAGATAACAATTGAGTATTTTAATCCAGACCGAGATCCAGATTATTCGTGAAAAAAATGGTATAATTCATTTTAAATTGCTGGATGTTTCAAGTATTTTCTTAGGTATAATGGTAGAATGAAATCAGTTGAATTTTTTTTGCACGATTGATTGATGGATACGATTGGAGGTGTCATTCTTTTCTTGTCATTCAACCGTAAGTCAGTTGATGCCGTTTTTAGTCGGCGAACGATTTTTTTAGACGTTGAACCGAAATTTCCCTGGTCCTAGTGCAATCAATACCAATTAGTTTGAATTTCTTCGTCACCACCTGGAGACAATTTGTTACGCTTGGTCAATAAGTTGGTCAGATTTTCTTTTCAGTCTTGTTTTTTTTTGGTGAGTTGATGTAGTGAAGTATGATGTTGTTGAATCATGTTCATTTATGCGAAATAGTAAGTTTGGTGGACTTATAACACATGGAAATGTTTATGCTTGTAGTGAGGTTGGAAATTAGCGTTTTACTTTGAAATTTAAGGTTGTAATTTTTTTTTTAAATTTGCAGTGAAATGGTGTACGAGGAGAGAATGGCCGTCGCCGGCAGAAGCGAGGGCGGCATCCGACGCTGCAAGGAGGGGTGTCCTCTATTCTTCGGTATTCCTCGGGAGTCCAGGCGAGTACAACTCGTGTAAGTATGTGCCGTGCGCAGGTCTACCCTGGAGCCTGCGCCATTCCACAACCCTTTCCCGCACACTCCATCACTCCATCGATCCCGCCTCAACCCCCTCTTTCCTTCCCTCCACCGACATTTATTTATTTATCGCTCCACTACGGGATATTTAGCGTCTGGGCGCCCCGTGGAAAAACACGAGAGAGATCGGAATAGATAGAAGGAGAGGGTGGCCGTGTGTGCGAGAGGGGCGAAGAGGGAGAGTGAGTCGGTTCCAGTTAGAGAAAGAGAGCGTAGGGTATAGATTTGTGGGCGGGTGGCCCATCTGGACCCTATTGATTGGCTAATGTTAATGGTGAGGTCTGGTCTTGACACAGAAGGCTACCCTGTCACCACCAGACACCCCTGTTCGCCCTTCTCCACCCCCGGGCCCACAATCCTACACTTAAATAAAGAATCTTTTCCCACACTAGTTAGTTACTCACAAACAATCCCATTCATACCCACCCTCCGAACATCGACTTCCATCCGAATTAGCATCCGACCTTTTGGAATGGCATAAACGCTCCAGGAGTAAGAATCGTCCCGTTCTCAAATCGAAATAACATCGATTTTTTATATACTTATTTTAATTTTATTTACATAGTATTAAGATGTGATTGTTTGTGTTCGCATAAAGGAAACCTATCTCAATTGTTTAAAAACTGATATATTCACTTATTTCAACTTTAGATTGACCGACATCTTTAAAAAGAAACAGCAACCAGGGAGAGATGATCTTTCAAATGTGTAAGCAGTAAATTAGGAAGGAAAAGTGCAAAAGGCAGAATGAATTCCTGCTCTCTTGAGTTTTTACCATTTATCTAAAACCACCACTGTGGTACATATAAAACCTAAAATAGAAAATAACGAATAGCACAAATATAAATAAATATTTATACATGTATATACATGGCTACATAATGGTAGTTTTATCAGCCGGTTTGATATTAATTTAAAAAAAAAATGAAATTGAAATTAATTAATATCTGAAATTTACACGAGTCCCTTAACGTAACTATGAATATAAAAAAATATTTTAATAGGTGAATATAATAAAAAAAAGCACATGAAAATCATAATTTTGTTTAAACACTAATAATACCATGAATGATTGAATTTTCCATGAGCTAAAGCTGATTTTGAAGACAGTAGATTAAGAACAATTTGTTGTTGGCCATTGTAAAATTCAACTAAATTGACAATCCACATCTTGATTTTCCTTTTTGCTATTTTGGTTTTTTTTTATTTTCATTGGATCTTTAAAAAAATACCTCTTCGTACATACAAAGAAGTCAAAATGTTATTTGGAAAAAAAAAGCACATAAAAATAATAATTTGTCCAATTGTCGACTATATTTTGCGAATTTATCTGCAATTTTTTTTAGTTCCATAGGATTTTTTTAAAAAAATTACCTGTTCATTTTAATGGTATGTAAAAAAATTCAAAATATTAGTCGAAAAAAAAAATTATAAAAGCACATAAAAATAGTCAATTTGTTTAAACACTACTGTTATTAGGGATTGGATTGTCGAATATATTTTGCAAATTTGTTTTGCATTTTTTGTTTTAATTTCATCGGATTTTTAAAAAAATTACCTGTTCATTTTAATGGTATGTAAAAAACAGTAAAAATATTAGCCGAAAAAAATAACACCGGGATAAACAGTGCAAATGATGATTTCGAATAATCCATATTTTTAGTGGTCCGAGTAAACCAAAGTAATGATTTGAATGTATTTATAATTTTTATGTAAAGTGTGGTTGAAATGAAAAGTAGATCGCCTGGGTTACAGCCGGAGGTCGGGTTCGAGTCGAGCTCGTGACAATACATTTTTATTAACCACACTTCACGTAAACATGATAAGTCGGTTTCGAATAATGTTTATATAAAGTCGGAACGTCCATTTATTACTGGCTGTGATTATAAATAATCGTTAAATGTCAGGTAGTGTGTTTTTGCTGTAATCTTGTTAACAGGGTACTAGAAAAAGAGAAACCCATGATAGTCCAATTGGAAAAATTCACAAAGCATGTGCTCTTTTTTAGAAAAATACAAGCCTTTTGACAATTTAACAGCAATTTTGTTCGATGGGATTTCATCGTTGCTGGGCTTTCTGCAAAGTTCCAACTTGTGCTGTTCACACCTTCCCCCCCCTACTGGCTCATCTAAATGACCGTTTGTCACGTAAACGTCGCCGGCAAAAATGGTCTCCGCCCTTGTGTCAAGGGATAAATTTTCAGGGCGTGAAAACCGTGTGTTGTCCCGGTTGCGACACGTAAAATAAGTATATAAATAAACTGAATAGATTTCTTCTTGAAAATTTGTAGAAGGGTTGTATGTTAAGGTTTAACCTTTTCATATTTCTAAAAGTCTCCTTATTCGTAATGACCATTTTTATTAATATTTTTTTATTAAATTGCCTTCGTCATACTGTTAAATGAATTGCCTTAAGGACTGACGTAATTTTTGTTAATGATGGTGTCATTTAGGTATATCAACGAAAGACAGTTTTGCTTTGCCGAAACACAATTTCTCCATGCTGCTCTATCTTTAAATGTAGAATATTAACATTTGTCTGTGTGTGTTTGTTTGAAAAGTTAGAGGTTTAGGAGAGCAAGACCAAAAACCAGTAGACGATTAGCACCCAGTAAAATGCTCAATCACACATCAAAGACTTAGATTACCGGTGAGTGGACTTTTCTTAGAAAAATTCTCCGCTGCCCAAAATCGGAAGTCACTGGGTTGAATTCCAAGTGAAACGACTTCACAATTCAATATCAGAATCAACCCTTTAAGGTCTAGTTTTGTCTTAGAACACACGAACTTCCTCAATTTTGTTCAAAGTAAGGTAAATCCCGTGAGTTTAGATTGGCACCAGATAAATCAGTGTTGCCACTAAAAAAACAAAAAAATTAGAGTACCACCTTGAACTTACGGTATTTCCTGCTAACATTAAACGAAATTGCTAAAGTTGGCATTGCTCTGAAACAACTTACGGGCAATAAAGGGTTAAATTATACACGGGATATGAACAATTTTATGTTTGGCAAAGATAACAATCGATAAAAATGGACTAGTGGGGTTGGAAAAAGCTATGTTGGAGGTAGAAGATTCCACGATGGATATGTTAGATTGGCGCTAAAAAAATCATTGTTGCCAATACACGGGCACAAACAGCATGAACAATACAATTAATTAAGGTTTTTAGTTGAGATGAAAAAACGTTAATGGCACGAGCGGGATTCGAACCCACGATCTTCGGCTAGATACGCCGCTACTCTACCACCTGAGCTATCGTGACCTAGGTCCACTCGGACATCAACTTCCCATCTCAACCCCACCTTTGAGTTTTCCCTCCTTTTTGCCATTTTTCAAATGTCGTGTAATCGGATTGGATTCTCGACGACAAATGTCCGAGTGGATCTAGGTCACGATAGCTCAAGTGGTAGAGCAGCGGCGTATCTAGCCGAAGATCGTGGGTTCGAATCCCGCTCGTGCCATTAACTTTTTTTCATCTCAACTAAAAACCTTAATTAATTGTAATGTATTAATTGGTCAAGCGGACCACGAAATTAGTGAATTTAAAGCATGAACAATACTGCGCCCGTCCTAACCTCACAGGATTGCCTGCTAACCTTAAACAAAATGGCTAAATTGGCATGGCTCTGAAACCACTTTGAGCAAGAAAGGGTTTAATTATAAGCCGGATATATTTTATGCATGGCCAATATATGAACCAATTCGAAAAATTATTTTAAAAATAGACGATTCCAAGATGGAGATTTTAGATTGGCGCCCAAAAAAGGTCAAGCGTTGCCAATTCAAAAAGAAGAAACATTGAAAGATAAATACTGTACTTGCCCTAAACTCATGGGAATAGCTAAGCTTTAGCAAAATTGCTAAATTTGGTGTTTCCCTGAGGCAACGTTGGACAAGAAAAGATTAAAATTTAGGGTTAAATTCACAAAACAACTGCACTGCTTAGGTAAGGAGAAAATTTACGTTTTTGTTTCGGTAATTTTTACATTCTTCGGCTGTTGTATAAAAAAAGTTTGATCTCTCCATAGGTTGTTGTTTAAAAAAGATGTCTGCCAATTACTGAAATCTGATTTAAAAAAAAAAAAAAAAAAAAAAGATTTGAGAATTAGGACTATTCCTTCTAGGCGATCTTTGAGTAATGATGAACACTAGATTTTAAGTCTTTAGATAAATAATAGTTAAAACAACTGTCTTCACTTCATTCCATTTTCCTAAGTGTCGAAGTAGTGTTTCTTTGTCCGTTCGCTTAAAGTTTATTTTTAAACAGTGCGTAACGAAATTGGGATTGGGCTAACGAGCCGATTTGGCGTTAATCAAGGCTAATTTTCTAGATGACTGCGTTCTGTTTTTCACTATCAGCTCATGATTTAGTGGGAGTGTAGTTTTCCCCTGCTGATTAACGTATCGAGGAGCGGTCGTTAAACTGACATTAGTAACTTTTCTGTTTTTACAAGGAATTGACAATTTATCTCGAGCCTGCCCGGGACGTAGGGAAAAGTCATCTGTGCACGTTTGGCCTCAGCTCAAATTGTATTTATAAATAAATTATAAGGCAGAATTAAATGGGCTGACTGTTTAATGAAACGCTGATTAAACTACACTGGATGCTGGTAGCCGAATTAATTCACTGTAACCACTAATGCCTTTTATGATGTTACTCTTTTGTAATTGAACCGAAATTGTTTTGAGTGATATTTGTAAAGGATACTGGTGGCCATTATTTATATTGTTTAAAACGTTAATTCGTTTTATATTAAAATAATAAGCGATCAGGACCTTCCCCCGACAGTCGGATCCTCCAGGCTTCAATAAACAACTCTGTCACACACGGACGAGGCATCGTCAATTAAAGAGATGACACGATGCTGGCGGTCAAATTGATGTAACTTGGAATATGTAATTATATCTTTGTCTTACATCTTGTGTCTATGACTCTCGCCCCGTTTATGGATGGGATCGGCTTTGGGCAATGGGATCCTTGGGGGTTCTCGTTTAATTGGAGGTATGAAGTGGAGACAACCTGTTCAATAACTGAACCGATACCATTAGAGTTACAGGGTTGGGGTCGGGTTTAAATAAGGATTAGAGGAAAGCATTGACCCACAATAATAGGTTTATCAGTGGGAGGTCCTCGGTAGGGGACTTTGCTATGGTAAATGACTCATATGCAAACACATTCTATCAGACCCCGACCCTTGGGACTCTTATCTCTTTCTCACTTTCTTTCTCTTTCTTCCGATGAATTAGATTAATCCTATTAAGCCTACAGCTCACTTCTAACTTGGTTAATGACGCAAACTCTGTTGTTCAATGTTTAGGCGATGCTAGCAACGCTAGTATTGGAAGTGGGGAAGGTACGGGAGAAGAAGACGACGAAAGCAATGGGAAGAAGAACCAGAAGAAGAGGGGTATCTTCCCTAAAGTGGCCACCAATATCCTCAGAGCATGGCTCTTCCAGCATCTCACTGTGAGTCAATCATTTAATACAACCTCCTACCCTCCACAACTCCTTCGTATTCACTTCAACAATTATATTCTTTGGATATTCATAACACTTCTCAGATTGACATTTTTTCACCAATTTTGTGTTGGCCTAACGGACCAAATTGGATACTAAATTTAAGGGCTTGTATGAGAAAACCAATACTTAGGATACAGTTTGGTAGAAAGTTCAAATTAGTCATCCTATAAGTAAAGTCGGAAAAAATCATTTGACTCTTAAAGTTTTTTTTTTTAATTTTCAATTATTCTTTTTATACTTCACTAAATTCATCATGGCGATTATGAAAGCTCCAGAGACTCCGGAATAACATAAGTTATGCTATTATATATGAGAGAACGGAGGGTGGCTTTTTAAAGTTTCAGCCAGATTGTTATTTATTTTCTCTGACGTCTCATTGAAATATGTAAAGTTGTTATGAGGCTTCGGATTTTTCTGGTGGAACTAAAACCAAACACTTTTTACGCATTTATTTCAAAAGAACTTTTAAAATTTAAGAAAAAATGTATTGTTATTTTCAATTCTTGGAATAATACATGATATCCGTAATTATTTATAGGATGATTATTACCCGTAAATAACACATGCATTGGATTAAAAAGTATTTGTATGCTCTAATTAAAATATTTTTCCAAATCATCTGGCAAAAAACAAATTCATTGGCTAATTTTCATTTACTTGGAGGTGGTAAATGCATGTTTTATTGGTTCTTAGAATAATGTATTTTCTGTGTAACGAAGAAACAACGAAACATAAGAACAGGTTTGTACCGCATTGACCAAATTTCTAATTTAAAACCTACCCACAGAATTAGAAGACTTATTTCTTTGAAAAATATTCAATGTTAACAAATTAATTACATACATGACGCACAGGTATATTACACAAGGGAAGATGATCAAGTAAGGGTCTCAGTCATACATGTTTTACATCATTCGTCAAGCTTTCGATATTTCTTCTGAACATGTTTTTATTTACAAATATAATAAGTTATATTAATCCTTTATGGCCTAATGTTGTCTTAGAGCAAGGCGAACTTTAGCTATTTTGTTAAAACTTAGCGTGAAATCCCGTGATTTTAGTGATTGAGAGGTTAGATTGGCGCCAGATAAATCAGTGTTGCCAAACACGGGCATAAACTGCAAGAAAAACCCTGCTCCCTCCCTGAAATCACAGGATTTCCTGCTATCCTTACATAAAACCGTTAAATTGCCATTACTCTGAAGCAACTTTGGGCAAGAAAGAGTTAAATACACAAAAAAATATGAAAAATGTTATATTTGGCTAATATAACAACCATTCGAAGAGCCACGTTGGAAATAGAAGATTCCAAGATGCAGATTTTACATTGGCGGCAAATAAATCAGTGTTGTCAATACATGGGCTGAAATGCTTAAGGGCAATGCACCATAGCTAAACTCACGGGATCAGCTACCCTTTAGCAAATTTGGTGTTGACCAGTGGCACTTAAACTTCAATAAACTTTAAATCTAACTTTCTGCTGAGTGTGTGTGGGTATCCGATCTAAACGGAAATTGTACTAAAACAGAACCTTGATCATGAATAATCATCACTGTCACTGGAGTCATCATTTGGTACAGAGATTGCGTGATTGGCCTGAAGTGCTTTAATGGGACTGTTACTGCTTCATGTTTTCGTTAGCTATGTAGCGCCCTAGCCTGTGAATGTCTCGACGAATTAGTTCGATTTCCAGATACGGATGCATAAACCAAGTCCACTACTATAAATTGAAGAATTAAGTACGCTTGTGAATTGATGATCGGATTTCCTTTTCGGTAAATGTTCATACATCGATTTCCCACTTAACTGTCTTAATTTCCAAATAAGATTGGCTAGTCCACGAGTTCAAGATTTATGTTGTCACGTTTAAGAATAAGTTTTATTTCAATTTTTCAATTTGTAGACAGTTAGTGATTATTGATTTTCGTTTCGGGAAGAAATGGGAGGAAAAAGTGAAGACGCTTCCCCCAGCCCGATGAAGTCGGAAAAAAAATCCCTAAACCTAAAATCCTTCCAAATCCGATTCCCGGCTGCAACCTCGGCGAAGGAGGCTTCAACGCCTTTGGTCCCACTCCAAGAAGCTTTACGTGATCGGCGGTTTACGAATGAAGGAGGTGAAAGAAGCGATCCGAACGTGCCTCCTGGATGAGTCGAAATCCCTCGGAACTGTTCCAAAACATTGAAAAATTACTCGGAGATCCCGTTAAAAACAGGCCGGAGGTTCGGGAGGTTTTTCTCTTTCTGGTTGAGATGAAGGTCTTGAAAATACCAGCAGTGGCACGTGAATAAACCGTTATAAAAAAATAAAATGAAATAAAAACAGATCATAAGTTTTTCCGAACAAATTGAGATTCGAGTCACAATTTTTATCTCGACCTAGAGCGCGACGAATACTAAGAGATAACAGCTGCCCGATTTAACATTTTTCAACTTTTTCACCGGGCCTAAAATTGTTGGGATATAGTTGACATTTCACAATCCTGGCATGTATTCTCACAGGAATGCCTAACGTTTGCCCGGATACTTTGGTCATTAATATTTGATCCGATCTTTTTGAGGGGGGAACGTAGAGATAGAGTTGTAGTGAGCTGTGGCGTTCTGTCGAACGGTTCAGTGCACGCCGATTATTATCATTAGAGACAAAATTGCCACCTTCCCTTAATCCAATTTACAGCGCCCGCCCATTTGAAAGGTGGAGTGGAAGGGAGGCAAACATCACACTTATCTCCCCTATGAATCCAGCACTGTAATGGCTTTAAAAACCAACTCGACAAGGGAATTTTAGAAATTTGCATACCTTTACACCGGCGATATCCGATGTCGATGGACTTTCTCAAGGATCCGATGGTGCTTATGAGCAGGCTAGTCTACTATTATGTTTGTAAAGATCTGCCTACAAAGCATGAACGAATGATATTTGATTCGCGGTGAAAAAGCGACAACAGGCGAGACCAGCGTTTATATGCAAACGAATGAAACTGTTTTGTATTGTTTCCTCATTTTGTACGATCCGTATTTTCATTTAGCATAATATCAATCAGAATGTTTCAATTTCGCCATGTGTAAAAGCTCAAAGAATGATATCAAGAATAAAATAAAAGTATCGATTTTTGAACGAATGGGCATTGACGACTTTCCAGGGGGGAGCCCGTGTCACCGCTATCTCGCCGTCTCCTCGGATCATAGACGGTCATTACGTTTATGAGTAATAAATGATGGGTGCGGGTCGAGATAAGGGGCCGGGAGAGGGTCGTGGCGACACTTTGCCGACTTGACGATATGGAATGCATCTGCATAATTCAACATGCGATTATAAACATTTACTGACCCTTCGAGCCAGCGCGCTCGTCCTCCCCCGATTTGTTTGCCAAACAGACACACATCATGAGCAGGCGAACGGATAGGGTCCCTCCTCCTGACACCCGTTAACTCTCCTCTAATCCAATAATCCCATTACGAACGTTCGGCCGAATTTGAATAAACCAATTAACCCTCCCCGTTAGGTCAATTTATAATGCTCGTACTGACTTTATCTAATTTTTGCCTCAAGAGGGATCCTCGGGTTTTCGACCGGCTTGAAAATTCCTTCTTCAGTCTTCGATTCGAATTTATAACTTGAAAATTCCTTCGATGAAGTTGAAACTAGGGCACCGTCTACAAAGCTAAGGCTGTCTATCCCAATCTCCGGACTTAACCACTGCGATCCGGCCTTCTGACACTAAAATTGCAATAAAAAACATTGACAGAAAGTGGCAGCGTCGGTGGGCCGGGCTGGATGAGAAGCACTCACGTATCAAGAGCATTGTCGATAGGGTGTCCTGGGAGGATCTACTCTTAGATTAAGAAAATGTCAAAAAGGACGGAAAATTCGAAAGGTTGTAGGTTGAGATGGGGAGGTGGTGTCCGAATGGAAGTCACGATAGCTCAAGTGGTAGAGCAGCGGCGTATTTAGCCGAAGGTGGAGGGTTCGAATCCCGCTTGTGGCACTTGCTTTTTCATTTCAACCAAAACCTTGCATACAAAAATTAATTAATTCTTAAAAGAAGGTTCATCCTCACCTGATGAAGAATAGGCCATGCGACGTTGTCCCACAGACAGCCAAAGCCCGCGCACGTATCCTGCATTTACAGAAACGTCGCTCGATTTGTCCCACCTAATTGAACGGTGCAACTCTTGATTCCATATAAAGAGCGTGTAGGAATTCCACGTTATGAAAATTGTACTTAATACACGACAGGGAATATCTTGGTCGCCTGTTCCGATACTTGGAGGAAACAGAGTTGTTTCATTTTACATAGTACTGATAATTTTCTGTAGCTAGCGTGTATTATTTGCGTGAATAGTGTGAGAGGACCGACACCGACACACCAACGGACCATTGAGTACCTCATTGACCTCGGTTAAGTTTATTGTATAATAAAAGAAAGGGTGATGGAGGAATATCAAGTTCTTCATCACTCTGGGTAAATTGTATGTAAATAGGAAAGAAAGTATTTAAGAGAGAGTGTGTGAAGGGGTTTGGATTTAGAAACTGCGTTGGGTGCTGAATGACCTAGCAATTGACTGCACCCTGAGTCCGACCTCGGTGCCTGGATGGATAAGAACGAGGTCTGACCCGAGAGTGTCTACACCCGAAGTGGGTGATTCTAGAGGATTCATATTTTCATAATGTCCCAAAGTAGGTACAATTCCCTGGGTAATAGCAGAAAGAGTGTCACCATTCACGCTAATAAATTACATGTACATACGTACACACACCAGACTACTCGATATTCCTATTGATGGGGTGTTGTGCAGTGATCTCAGTGATTGAGGAAGTAGCCTCTTCATTCTTGGCCGTCTATGTTTACCTGTCAGAAGATTATTTTTTTAAATATGTTTAAAACGATTCAGTTTCATGACACTATGTACGTGGGAGTATACAACCATGAGATTTAATTAATTGA